CAGGGACACCTTCCACTAGACCAGGTTGCTCCAAGCCTCATCCAGCCTGGCCTTGAACACTTCCAGGGATGGGGCATCCACAGCTTCTCTGGGCAACCTGTTCCTGTGATTCATCACCCTCTCCGTGAAGAATTTCTTCCTGATATCTAATCTAAACCTCCCCACTTTCAATTTAAACCCGTTACCCCTTGTCCTGTCACTACAGGCCCTTGTAAAAAGTCCCCCCCAGCTTCCTTGTAGCCCCTTCAGGTACTGGAAGGCTGCAATAAGGTCTCCCCGGAGCCTTCTCTTTTCTGCTGAGTGGCAACCTGAGAGCTCTTTTTACACTTCAGCAGAAATCAGTCTTTTTTTTTTTTTCCCTAGTAAATTGGCAAAAATAAACCGTGTATCTTCTGATGAGGTGGAATTTTTTGTTTCTGGCTTGAATTGCCTACTCTGGATCAGACTGGGAAAATCTGAATAGCCAGTTCTTTATTTCAGAATAGACAGTTTTTGAAATTTCTGCCTTTTAAATGGGCATAGTTAAAGGACTGGGAGGAGGTTACATCCTTCTGCCACTGGATTTCTAGTTCAGTATGTTTGGTGTACTTAGGTCTTCACATTCTACTTGTTTCTGAAAAGCTGTTAATTTCTGCTGTTCAGGAAACAGCAACAACTTTTAGTAGCATGCCTTGTTAGCCATGGGCTTGATGATTGTCTTTTGGCTGGATTTTAATATGCAAACTTCTACTGGTTTAGAATGCAAAGTGTCTTTTTTAATTTATAAGCTAAAATTCAGTGGAAAAATTTTTTAGTTATAATTACAGATAAGCTGAGTTGTCAGAATGAAAAATTTGTCTTTTGGCACCTGGCTTTGTCAGAAGGTGATGTTCGTATTTACTAGGGGGAAGGAAATCAGGAAATGTACTGTGAGGAAAATATTAAATGACTAATAGGTGGCAATTAGGTTATTATAACTGTATTCAATTAGTTTTAAAAAAAGCAAGCTATGAGTAAAATTGGATATTATTATCACTGCTTGACTGTAGTTTATTTCTAGATTTTCTCTTCAGACTCCTAACCCTAGCAAAGTCTCAGTTGTCAGTATGGGAGCATTATGCATTATTGAAAACTATTAATGTTTTCAGACCAAGACAACAACTTGAGTGTACCCTAAATTATAGATTACTTTATGCTGCTTATATGTTTATGCATTATATGTTTTATACACCACAGATGTGCCATGTTTTATTCTTAGTTTCCCTTGCTTTTGTGTTGTACTCCTCTATAGAACGTTTTCTATACTTAATTTGATGATTAAAATGTGTTTTTTTGATACCATATGCTTTGTGTATTCGAATGAGATGTCTTGATCTATAGAGCTGCAGAGGGAAGACTTGTGTAAATGGTGTAATAAAAATTAACACTTAAAATTCTTGTAGGAAACTTACGATGATGCTTCCCTGCATAAATCTCAACCAGCTAAACCCAAGTTTGATCCCTCTATTTCTCTGCCACCTGTGAACCTGGAAATTGTGAAGAAGCGACTGACTGAAAGGTAAATCCTGCTCGTATGAACTTACCTTGAGCGGTCTGAGTTTTTCTCACAGAATGAGAGATGACAGCTTTGAAGTCTTATTCTTTTTCCAGAGCATTGGAGGGTTTTTGGGTTGCTACTTTATGTTTAATATTCCTGTTATCGTGTCCTGTAGAGTATTACTGACAGGTAAAGTTAAGTCTGTCCTCTACTGTAGGGACTTCTGGACTATTCAGAAAAAAAGCATTTGGACTTTTCATAAGTGGTTTATCAACAAGAACTTCAGAGAATAAGTTCACTGAAATGGCAGCAGCTTTTCATGCTTGGTAGTAGTTGATGGTTCAATGTTATGTTTGCCCAGCAAGCAAAACTTCAACCAGGGTGGATGTCGCTTGCAATCCTACCCCTTTTGCAGCGGTCCTTATAGTAGCTGCAAAAATAACTCTATTTCCTAAAGCAGCAGGAAATCCACTACAGCCTGTTGAGGGATACTAGAACCTGCCTGGATTTTTTTTCTTTAGTCGTGTACCAGGCTGTGAGTGTTCTGTAGCAGTTCAGCTGCTGTGTGGGCAGCTGAAGTGGCCTGGGGTGGAGGTGGGAACCTGTAAGAGAGTTTGTGAGAAGGACAGCTGGGGTCAGGCATCCTAAGGTAAGTCATCCCCTGTCATCTCTCGTGGCACAGAGAGCAGCAGCTGTTTAGATCAGTTTAGACAGTAACATTATACAGCTGAAACATAAATACGTGCTGTGGACTTGCCCCGAGTTCTCTCTGTGCGTGCTTTCCTTTGTACAGATCGTCACTGACCTGCTTTCTTAAAGAATTGCAACTAAATGGAACTAAGTATTTTTTTTTTCCTGGAATTATGTGCTTGCTTTGCCATAATCTCCTGAAAGCTTTGGGTTAAATGAAGTAGGGATTGAGGTGCAGAGTCAAGTAAGAGAAATGAAAATAAGACTGCTGAGAGTGGGAAAACCTATTTGGAAAATAGCAAGAACGGGAGGTGGAACCTGTTTGATGTAAGCTTTATGGATGTGTTTAACATGCTGAATGCTGAAATAGCTTTATTCAACCTCTGACACAGAAGAGAGCAGTAGCTTGGTTTTATTGAAAAGTGTTCCCCGCTTTAGGGAAGCGAAATAAGCTGTGGTCTGTTTCTTGGTTCTGTTACAGGCTTGCTCAAGCTGAGCAAACACTGGGAATGTGTAAGGAGGGAAGGGGGAGTGGCAAGGGGAAGAAAAGAAGCAGAGTTGTAGTATTTGTAAACATTCATAGAATCACTGAGTGGTTTGGGTTGGAAGGGACCTTAAAGCCCATCCAGTTCCAACCCCCCTGCCAAGGGCAGGGACACCTTCCACCAGACCAGGTTGCTCCAAGCCTCATCCAGCCTGACCTTGGACACTTCCAGGGATGGGGCATCCACAGCTTCTCTGGGCAACCTGTCCCAGTGCCTCACCACCCTCTCTGTGAAGAACTTCTTCCTGATATCTAATCTAAACCTCCCCACTTTCAATTTAAACCCATTACCCCTTGTCCTGTCACTACAGGCCCTTGTAAAAAGTTGTGTCGTCCCCCCCTCCCCCCCCGAGCTTCCTTGTAGCCCCCTTCAGGTACTGGAAGGGGTACTGGTTCCTGTGCTACCTATTTGACAGTGACAGCTGTAAACACAAATTTCTGGGATTTATCACCTAGTAGCAGCAAGAGTCCTCCGTTGGTTTGTGTTTTGTCGGGAGCACGTGGTGAATGTCTATAGGTACTGCTGTCCGTGCAGCTTACGTTCAGCTAGCGTGGGCAGGCTGACATGGGCTGTAGTTTTCCCCGTGTTACACTGGGTGTAGAATCCATTTAACATGATACCACAAAATTTGGCTTTTTAGATTTTTGGGAAGTGGGGTGTATTGAGGGATCCGTGTAAAATGTCCGTGGTGCTTTCAAAACGAGAACCATGTAAGTGACATTTGAGTCTCCAAAGGATGATTCTTGTCCACATCCCATGCTTCTGCAAATGTTGGCGTGGGTAAATCTTTCAACGCTGCTTAGATCGAATGCAAGTACTATTATTAGCATGGGCAGAGGTTTTGTATGGGATTGTAATGGGGAAAAATGTTTTGGAGTGCATCAGCTGATAACTTGGCCATAGTTTCAGTTGTCTGGGTTTCTCTTTTTTTTTTTAGGATAACATCATTACAGGATGTGCACCGTGCCCACCAGAGAGAATATGAAAAATGTGTGGAGGACATTGAAAGTTCAAAGATGACTGTCCAGGAGTTGGAGAAGTCTTCGGATGCAGCTCTGAATTACAAATTCTACAGGGCCATGAAAACTTACGTAGAAAACTTGATAAACTGCTTGAATGAAAAAGTATGTATGTTTTCTTCCCTTTTTGTAGATGATAAAGGTGTATTCCATCAATGAAAGATGAGGGTTTTTTATTTGGGAATGATGAGGGACAGCACTCAGTTAAGTCAGTTCAATCAGAAATTTTAATGTAATGGGAAACAAAATATAGGGAAAACAAATCAACCCTCACCTAAAGTGATGATCAAGCTAATATGGGAGTAGTGACTTGAGCTGTGATCTCACCTAGATTCTGTTGGATGAAAATGAAATGTGACTGAAGGGAGTTTTCTGCAGGTCCACTAACCAGAGTGCACTGAAGTTGAATGAGTGGCACCACTTAAATTCACTTTGGGATCTCTTGAAATGGCTTTACTCAGGGTTATGTACCCTCGGGTTAGGTTTGAGTTGGGATTGAGTTAGCAGGGCTCTGTGAGAATTTGTCTACGTTTTTGGCTGCATCTGTTCTGTGAACCTTGTGTGTTTAAAAAGATGAAGATTGGAAGAAGGGGAGGAGTCGCCTTGAGTTTGGCCTCAGTGAATGTAAGCTGCTGTTACCCTCTATAGGTAGTGCTATCAAATCTGATTTGTCACAGCATTGCAGTTGTGAATTTATGTAACTTTAAAGAGAACAAGTGTTCTTTAATGGCTAGTGGCTGAAAAGCAAACCAGGTGCACCCGTAGTGTCCTGTTGAACCGTTTTGTGCAAAGTCTCAGGTAGTCCTGTTATGAGCAACTGGCATTTAGTTGGTGTTTCTCAGCTTTACAAAAAAGCCTGAAAAACTCCAGTGACCAGGAGCTTACATTTAGCCTGTGATCCTTTGGTTCTAATCTCACGACTATACTGAAATCCCATGGAAGCTGGTTTTTGTTTCTTCTTTTGGGATTTTACTTAATTGAAAACCTGAGTGCTGTTTACTGTATTTCAGCTGAAACACATTAATGATTTGGAGTTGGCTGCACATGTACTTCTTCAGCAACGGGCCATGAGAGTGTTGAAACGAAGGCAAGATGAGCTGAAAAATGAGTCTGCTCACATTCAGCATCTGACAAGTTAGTATCAAGTTATTTTCTCACTGAAACTTTCACTCTTTGAGCAGAAATATACAGTTATTATTTGGATCAAGTTTTTAATTTTCCCCTTGGATCTCCTTTCCTCTTTCCTTTGTCAGTACGTATGTTCTGCTGTACCTCAGTTGAAATCCTTACTTCAGTAAGGCCCATGTTTTTCTCTAGTTTAACACTGAACATAAATTGACCAAGTACTTGGTCACATTTTAGTCATTCAACTCAGCAATTTAGATATTTAAGAAGGAAAACTGTCAGTTTTCTAGCAGGTTTGAGTTGGAGAAAGCTTGGTTATGGTGCAATTCTGTGAATACAGGAAAAAGCAGTGTGTTTTCTTGGCAAGGTCACTTTTATGTGGGTGTCTTTAAGGCTGTGCACTCAGAATGAAGACTGCAAAGTAGGAGGTGACACGTGAAGGGAACGGGACATTGAGAAAACTTTTTTGTCGAAGGGTTTTATGTATAACAAACCAGTGTTTTTCAGTCACTGTAGGGAGGATTATGGTAAGTTTCTCATCTCATTTTCTTTCTACACTGATGTGTTATTTATGTCAGGTGAACTTTTAGCTGCTGCTATTCTAAAAAAACCCTCTAAAACATCCAAAACCAAACCCTTTAAAACTGTTTTTGGGGCAGAACTAAGAACATGCTTGGAGCTGCTGGGGACGGATGGAGGCCAGATGCTCCAGTTTCTGGTAACTACGAATCACGTGGGTTCAGTCTTCTCGCGGCACAGGATAAGCTGGTGATTAGAGAAAGCATACAGCCTGCACAGTTTTGTAAAATGGTGTAGTAGACTGACAGCAGGCCTTAAGAAGAAAAGGGTAGTGCTGTAATCGTTGCCAATTTTACTTCCAGCTCATTACAAATGAGACTGTACTTGAATATTTAACAGTGCTTTTAATTGCTCTTTTATGTTCCTGGTTGTATTTAATATAGTGGAAAGGCTGTTTTTAGTTCTGTGATAATATTTCAGTAGTAGTACTTGTTTCTTTTTGGCACGTTATGCACATATCAGCTTGCTAATAATGATACAAATGAATGGCCTGACTAGAAAATGCTTCTAGTTTCTAAGTCTTTGCTGGATTCAGGAGTCAGAGCAAGGGTAATTGGGGTCACACAGTCAGTGACTGCTCAGATAACAGGAAACAGTGGGGAGCTAGCTAGTCGTGCTATCTAAATGCAGTGATTTTGAATAGTGTAAATCAGGGATTTAAGTTCCATTTCAAAGTTAGAACCATACTTTGAGAGTTACTTATTACGTGGTTTCATTTTTGGCATGCAGATGAAGGTAGAGCCCTACCTTTACCTTTGACACTGCTAAGAACCCAGTGTGGAAGGCACTAAGTTGTTCTCCAGGGTTAGGAAGCAGTGTGAGCATTGACTGGAATGTCATCAAACTCACCTTTACATCAGCTGCTACGAGGGAACAAGCACATCTGACTATATGTAGTTAACAGTATTTACTGTCTATTCTGGAGACTGTTACTGTTTTGATTAGGAGGTTTGATTTTTCTTTGGCTAGATTCCAAATGAAGAACAGTCGAAGAAGAATAAGTGTTTACTGTTTGAGAAAATGAGAACTTAAAAATCATACCATTTAATTTTCGGCTGTTTCTGCCTTCTGATAGGTGGGAGTGACAAACCAACTAACGGCAGATTAGAAGGTGATGAGGAGACACAGCTCCTGGAAACGTGTGAACATCAAAGGTAGGTTTATGTATGTGTACACTTAACTCTGATTAATGTACTGTATGCTGGCTTTCTGTCACTGACACAGTGATGAATGTAAAGCTGTAGGATTACTAAATGAGGTCATACCAAAAAAAAAAAGGTGCTTATTTTCCAAAACTCAGAGTACTTGGAAACCATCTCTTTATTAATGGTGTTATCTTCATGTTGATTTGAATCTGAATGCTAATAGATGTTGTTAATTTAACCAGTCTTAAGTGAGGCCATTTATAAAACTACATGACAGAAGCTTTTTCTGTCATGTTCTAACAAATAAAATCATGACATACATGTTTTTGTATTATTGTATAGACAGGAAAAAAAGTCAGTCAGTGCTGTTTGTGGTTGTGGCGAGTGAAGCAAAGGAGTATCTAGCCCCATCCCTGATATCAGTGTAGACCAGAGAGTACGTTTTGGATGCCATAGGGTTTGGAGACTGCTACTGATTTCCTGCCCCCCCCCCAAGTTATTGAAAGCTTTGAAAATTTTTCAGTGTCGTTGGTGCCTCAACTCATAACTGTACTTTGAAGTGGCAAGAATTTTGGCATTTTAGCAGGTGCAAAATGATACAATAAAAAAATACACTTGAAGCAGCTAACCTTTATGCTAGTTGATGTCAATAACTGTCTAAAATTAGTTGTACATATCATTTTCATATCATGTGTCGTTTACCTGTGGCAGAGGGGCAAGCTATTGATTTTGTGGCCTTTTATGATTCTTGGTGTCATGGTAGTAGTGTGTTTTTTGGGCCCAGCTGGCACTTGGGTGCTGTCACAGTTGTGTAGGTTGTTGCCCAAGTGATCCAGAACTGGGAGCTCAGTCTTCGACATCTGTACTTTACTGTGTACTAAAACTGTCAGAGGCAGTATCCAGTACTATAGTAGATGTTCAGTGTTCCAGGTGGGATGAGTTATTAGCCTCCTCAGTGGGAATGAGGTGAAGTGTAGGCTATTACATGGTTCATAGGGGAGATGGAGACATTGCTTTAACCTCTTCTGTGTCAGTCCCAAAGCCCCTCCTTCTTCCACAGTTTGTGTCCTTATGGTCACACCATTGCTACTGGTCTCTGATTGCTGTTGCTCTCACAACTTGCTTTTAGTACATTTTTTTGAAGTCAGATTATTTTTCATTACGCTTCCTTCTGCGTACGAGGGGAGGATAACTCATCTGAGTTCGTTACAAAATACAGGACTCGCAGGCGGCAGGTGAGGGAGCGTGCAGGAGAAGCTGATCACCATGAAGGCATGTCGAGTGACGATGAGCTGACGCCGACAGAGGTGACCGAGTTCCGTAAGAGCAGAGGTTAGTGACGGTCTTACTGTGATGTCCTAAACCAAAATCTCTTTCTGATATTTTTATAATATCTCTTTTTTAGGGAACGTGAAGAAATACTTCGAGTTAGTTACACACTGTAGGAGATAAATGCGTTCAGACAGTTCCAGCTAATGACTTAGTAAGAATAGGTGCACAGTTGTAATTTCTTTTGGTATGAGTTATGTGGTGGTGGCACTACACACGACTTTCAACCAAAAGTAAGGTCTTGCAGCTTATTCCAAAGCTGATCTGACAGTACTCGATGCAATGCTACAACGTGTTTTGTATAATCAGCTCGTTTTCTGAAGATAGTGAATTAAAGGTTGGTGTTTTAATTACCTTGAATGAATGGGTGAAGTGGAGTAGGGAAGGACAGAATACCTCCTCTACGTAACAGCAGAAGTGTTTTCAAGTCTGAAATGTTATCGCTGTGATACAAAATTTGATACATTGTGGTTGTATAAATCTATGGAATAGATAATGAAGAAACTTGCCTTTTTTGGTCTTCTGGCAGTATTTTTTTTTTTCCCCTGAAACTGAGTTTTCCAGGGAGCTGGTTCTAAAACCTGTTTCATTGTCAGGTGTGTCAAAGATAAATGACAAATGTGGTTAGCATACAGATATTTCATGTGTCCTGTAGATACATTAACTCTTCAGCTTATGCCTCAGTAAGTTCTGTGATTGTTTCTTTTTATTCCCAATGAATATTATCCATAGATAACGTTTTAGAGGATAGTAGGAAAATCTTTGAAGATGTACATGCAGATTTTTGTGACATCAGAAAAATCCTGTTGAAATTCCAGGAATGGAAGGAGAAGTTTCCTGACTCTTACTGTGATGCTTATATCAGTTTCTGCCTGCCTAAGCTATTAAATCCATTGATCAGAGTTCAGTTAATAAATTGGAATCCTCTTGAGGTAGGTGCATCTGTTGACTTTTTCTTAAAAAATGGAATGTATTTGTTTATTAACATACTGGTGACCCCTGTGCTTCTGGATGTTGCACTGGAGCAGTGGGCTATAGTCAGGAAAGCCTATTATGTTCCTGGACAGTACCAACTTTGTCAATCTGCTTTTTCTGCCCTGTTCATATTTGTTATTTGGCGAAGTGTGTGGGTATTTCTGGCAGCCCAAAGCACGCATGAGCAGGGGCATGCTGTTTGCAGGGAAAACCTGCTGTATGACAACTTCAGGTGGGTTGTAGGGGCATTCTACAACCCAGGATAAGTATGTTAACTAGAAAGGTCCATTTCTTCTTGTGGTAGGAATCTTCTTAACTTTGTGCTTTCCCCTTACCTCCAGCCCCTTTTGCAACACCCCCTGTAAAATAATTCTTCTCCCAGGTTCTTTAAAGGCACTTTAAGTCCTGGCTTTCCACCTAGTTTTCCTGATTTGCTGTTTTGACCTGTTCAGTGATGAGGGCAGATCCGAAATTAAGTGGGAATTTGTGATATCTTTGGATGGAGCTTTTCCTTTAATCCTCACCAACTGAACTACTAACAGGAGTGTTCTTTCAGCAGAATTCTGCAGAGTTGGAAGAGATGCCCTGGTTCAGAGCTATAGAAGAGTTCAGTAATGAGTCAAAAAGGGATGATGATCCTGATCAAGAAGTTTTGCCTAGAGTGATTGAAAAAACTATTCTTCCAAAAATTACAGGTATAGTAAGATTGTCTGGACAGCATTCGCTGCAGCTGGTAGGTAATCAAACCCTAAGTAAGCAATGGCTATCAAATCATGTTCGTTACTAACGATGCCCCAAGATGTAGTGCTTATGTAGGTCCACAGAATGAGGCTAAGGTAGCCTCTCTAGGATTACTGTGGGAGGCTTAGCTTTTTATGTTTACTTGTCACACTGGAATGCCTTGAAACTAGAGTGGATAACTACTTGCATATTGTGAATGAAACAAATTCCTATATTCTTTTTTTCCCTAGCATTTGTAAAGAGTGTGTGGGACCCTTTATCTACTTCACAGACAAAGAACCTTGTACATCTTTGCAGTAACATCTTTGAAAAACAAGTTCTTTCCAAAAACGAGTGCAGTCGAGCAAGAGAGGTAACAACTCTTGTTGTTTTGGGGAAGGGAGAACTTGATCCAGTGTGTGTGCTTTCTGTGCCTGTTCCTATGGGCACTTTGAACGTTGTCCTGAAGTTGTTCCGTTCTGATTATATGTTTGTTTTGTCACTCTGTATTAAGAAGATTTCATAGTTAAACTTCTGGCTCTGTGATGCTCTCCTTATTGAAGAAGATGGGAGATGGGATGCTGTAGAGGCAGAAATTAGCTCCTGTTCCTAGAAAAAAAATCTGCCTGAACTTTATCAAGAATCTGATCATAGATCTAATCTTGCTTCACTGCAATAAGAATGGTTAAAATTTAGATTTGCATTTAATTATCTTTCAAAATTTGGGCTTTAAATGCTTCAGCAGTCAAAGTCTTAAGCTTCTATTTATAAAGTAGATCTAGAATTTTAAAATTTGAAAATCCGTGAAGGTTAGTTAATCAGCTAGGAGAAGGACTACTTTATAATCTTAGCAATCTTCTAATAATTACTTTTATATACATGGTCACTCTATCATGCCCTTTTTCAGCCTGAGTCCTGGTTTATTCTCATGTAAATGTGGAGGTTTAGCTAGTATAAAACTGGTGAAATGGGAGATGGGGGGGATGTTTAGGCCCTGAGTATGAAAAGAAATATTTTTAACAAAATGTGTATACCTTTGACATGAGCCTTCCAGAGGCTGCTGATTTCAAACCATGTTTTGAAGTCAAGCAGTACAGCTGGCTTTAGCCAAGATACTGTTTGTAGGGAAGGTAAAGTAACCCAGAACTTGACACAAATAAAGGCGCTTAAAAAACCAGGTAGGTGGCAATCCGTGGCACCTACAAGCATGTTGCCTAAAACGTACTATACTTAGCGGTGGTGACTTTTTTATGTAGGATTTTTAGGGCTTTTTTGAGATCTTAGGTACAAACTTTTGTTGTTAATCTATGCACTTTTCCTGCTGCCTTGCAGGTAAACATGCAAAAAAAAGCCTCAACTTAGGGAAATAACTTCATCTTAAAATAAACAAAAAAATCTTCTAGGTTAACCCTATAGGTAATTACAGTTCTGTTTTTAATGTATTCATGGTATTGGTGTGTATTACATACAAGGGGCAACTGTACTTAGCTCTAACATATTGCACTTCTAGTTGAACAAAATAACCATTGAAGTTGTTACAAATGGAAGATGAAGTCTGTATTGTGAGGACACATTAATGATTCTTCTTTAATAGGATTTGGTGAACGTGGCTGTCCTGAGAATGAAGAAATGTGTAGAGGAAGATGTCTTTATTCCTCTGTATCCTAAAAGGTAAGCTGACTCTGGGACTCGTTTAAACTTTCTTTTTTAAGTTCCTGTACCTTTCTCCCCCAGAGTTGTAGAGGAAATATTGCAGGCATCCATTAACAGTTAGTGGAACAAACATAGAATCATGGAATCACAGAATGGTTTGGGTTGGAAGGGACCTTAAAAATCATCTAGTTCCAACCCCCCTGCCATGGGCAGGGACACCTTCCACTAGACCAGGTTGCTTCAAGCCTCATCCAGCCTGGCCTTGAAGACAGCCACATGCCTTCTACTGCTTTAGTATAGGAAAGGTTATAAAGCCTTAATCCTCGTTTTGAACTCTTTCTAGGAAGAGTAACTCCACTGACATAATGCTTTTTTGCTTCTGTAACCAAAAGCTTTCCACTATGCAAGATCCACTATACGAGTCTGGTTTTAGCATATCAACTTAGATCTACGAGCCTGTGTTAGTTCAGGTGTGTGTGTCCCCCCTGATTCCTCCTGTCATTGCTTAAAGAGTTTGTATCGTTGATGCTTATTACTGCACGTTATTTCAAAGGTGGGAACGAGTAGGAGTCTGGGAGGAGATGTGGGGTTAAGATACAGCTAGGAGAGGAGCTTTGCTCAAGTTGGTGTAGGGTATTTGTTTGTAAGAAATGCTGTTTTGGTCTGAATCCATGAAATGTAGACACAAGTGTTTCCAAGTGGTATTTTTCTCGGAAGTTATTTCATAGTGGTTGTATTAGAGTGGGTTCAAATTGACAGCTGTTTCCCTAGACCCTTATTCTGGTTGTCTCTCACTGCTGAAAGAGTTCTAGAATTAACATCAGTATCTACAAGATCAATTGGCTGTTTATCATCTTAAAAACAAATAAAAAACCCAACCAAAAACATCACCAACAAAAAATTCTTATTTTACCTTCTTTCTTCTTTCCATAACTAGCAGTGTGAAAGACAAATCGTCGCTATGTTCAAAATTTCAAGAAAGACTGTTTTGGTCAGCTATTAAGGTAGGGTGAAGATACCTGTTTTTTCTTTCAGATTCATTTTTACTGAAATATTTTACAGTCAGGCAGGAGATACAGAATCACAGAATGGTTAGGTTTGGAAGGGACCTTAAAGCTCATCCAGTTCCACCCCCCCTGCCATGGGCAGGGACACCTTCCACTAGACCAGGTTGCTCCAAGCCTCATCCAGCCTGGCCTTGGACACTTCCAGGGATGGGGCATCCACAGGTTCTCTGGGCAACCTGTCCCAGTGCCTCACTACCCTCTCCAGGAAGAACTTCTTCCTGATATCTAATCTAAACCTCCCTGCTTTCAATTTAACCCCGTTACCCCTTGTCCTGTCACTACAGGCCCTTGTAAAAAGTCCCCCCCAGCTTCCTTGTAGCCCCTTCAGGCACTGGAAGGCTGCAATAAGGTCTCCCCGGAGCCTTCTCTTCTCCAGGCTGAACAAGCCCAACTCTCTCAGCCTGTCCCCATAGCAGAGGTGCTCCAGCCCTCTGAGCATCTTCGTGGCCTCCTCTGGACTCGCTCCAACCATTCTATATCCTTCTGATGTGGGGGAATGCCTTAGTACTCTTTCCTTTTCTCCCACGTTCAGATTTGACTGCTAGTGCTCGTGTGTAAATCTTCTGTACTGGGGCCGTAGCAAACTGTTAACCTCTCGGGAGGGTCACTCTTCCCAGCCTTGGAAAGTCATATGTACACGTACTGGGCTATAGTTCCTGTGCACATGTAAACTAATTATTCTGTTTGATAAGTTAATTTACTGTATGCAGCTTATTAGTGGCTAACTGTGACAGTAAGTTTGGAGAGTGGGAATCCTGGGTTTTGACTCCTTAACTTGGATGGACATAATATTTTTATCTTTATCTTCCATAAACTTGTAATAATGTATGTTAGCACACTGCCAGCCACCGTATACATATTTCTCTGTTTCTTCATTACTGCAGCTGTTCTCCAATATTCTTCGTTGGGATGGGATTGTACAAGAAGATATGGTCCGTGATTTGGGTGTGAACAAGTTGCTGAATCGTTACCTTCTTCTGAATCTCTTAAACACACCTCCAGGACCAGATAATACAGAAAAGTGTAAGAAGGTAAAAGATAACGTACATGGGAAGAAGGTTGTCATGGTTTAAGCAACACAAGGGTGTGTGCTGAAAGCTGCTTTTTAATGGAGAGGTTGAACCTGAAGATGGAATACTTTAAGAAATTTTAATGTTAAACATTTAAAATTTGTTTTTAAATTTAATTTTTTAATGGCCTTAGTGCATAAAAGCATTTTAGAGCAAATATTGGTCTCTAGGTTCTTAAGAATAACTACTTGTAGGTCTACTCAATCTTAGTTTCAAAGAAAAACCATACTATTAATAATGACTGAACCTGCCAAAAAGAAAAGTCCCTGTCAAAGGTCATGTGACTTGGTTATACTGAAAGACTTTTCTTTTTAAACTTTTTCCAAATACTTTGTGTGTGAACAGGTGGTTGCGTGTCTCCCAGAAAGATGGTTCCAAGATCTCAAAAGTGGATCAACTCTTCCTGAGTTACTGAACTTCTGCCAGCACTTGGCACAGTGTGCCCGTACGCTACACAAGAACAACTACAGGTAGTAACAGATAAGACTTTCCTTGGGATTCAAGCACTTCCTTGAATAATTTGTGTTAAATATTTCTTCTTAAATTCCTTAAGTCTCATATATGTGACACTTTCAAGGATGTTCTTGTCACGTATATACCTAAACCTAAAGGTGGAGTCCCTAGTGCAGAGGGGGGCTTCTGCGGTTCTAGTTGGATGTGATGGTTTGAGGCGCTCGATGTTGGGTGCTGTCAGTGCTCAGTGTAGCCAAGGTCACCTGATGACAGGGAGTCAAGGAGAGACACCCAACTCCTTTAAAATCAATACACGTAAAGTCTACAAAGTCAGGTGCATGAAAGTGCTGCTAAATGCATTTATTTTTTTATAGTGATGAAGTGAAAGAAGTTATTCTCCTGCTGGTGAAAATCAAAGCTCTGCATATTGTTGAAGACATCATTGAAGAGTATAAACTTGAAGACCTTAAATCAATGATTGGGAAATAGAAGTTTTTGAAGTAATGTTTGTATTGGTGAAACGAGCCTGATACTCACACTAAACCAGATCTAATATGAAATTTAATTAGTGGGTCCTGCCTACTCAAAGATGTAATCACTGTTGTGTTGTTAAATACCTGAGGGTTTTTTCCAAATGTCTTCTACTGCCATCTGCTCCTGGGTTCAGGAGTCTTTTTAGAAACTAGAGTTGTAATTTCTAAATTACAAAACGAACCAAAGCAATGGTTCAGGCATTCTAAACCGTGTGACAAAGCTTTGTTGCTTAATCCTTTCTGGAGGGATTCCTGGAAAGGCAGAAAGTGCCTGTAGATTTTATCACTGTGTCGTGGTCTAAGCTTGACTAGCAATCGAGAACCACAGAGCCGCCTGCTCACCTTCCCCCTCCTCCAGTGGAGTAGGAAAATCAGGAAAAGACAAGGAAACTTGTGGGCTAAGAACAACAAATAATTGAATATGAATGAATAAAATAGTGATAGTAATAATATTAACAGTACTACTACTGAATTAAAATAATTGAAAATAAAACCTATGGTGCAATTGCTCACCAACCACTGACCGATACCCAGCCGGAGCCTGAGTAGCGAGAGTGAGAGCCGGAGCCCAGGAGCCATCGCAGCAGAGCCTGAGCGAGTCCCATGAACAACAGCACGACTGGGAAACCAACCGACCCACCAACTCGCTAACAGACAAGTGAGCTAGCAAGGGAGCTGTGACCCCCCCAGCCCACTCCCTGCTCATGAATATGAGCATGACGTGCTATGGAATGAAATACCCCTTCGGTCAGTCTGGGTCAGCTGTCTGAACTGTGTGTCCCCCATGCTGACTGTAGTGGGAAAATTGGGAATGCAGCTGCAGTATCAGAAGCTGGAGGAGTCCTTGAATTGGTGACAGACATTCCCCAGTGCCAGCTAAACCCCACCTTAACAGTACTAGTCTCAGGGCAAATCCAAAAGCAGAGCCTTGTGCCAGCTGCTGTGAAGAAAATTAACCCTCTGGAGCCAGCAGACGCTGCTAGCGAGCAGACAGCTTTACAGCCTTGTTTCAGTATCAGTTGCTGAGTGTCACTCTCTGACTCTTCTGACTTGTGGCGCAGTGATTTTGGTGGGAGTTATGGTTAAGCCATCCCTCGTGGAAAGGAATTCCTGATGTTGCTGGGGTTTTGACCCCGATACAACGCAAGAGAAGTCGGTGCGCAGGTAAGGGGTTTGGTAAATGTGGGTTCAGTGAAGCCAGAGCAGCACAGGAGAACGTGTGGGGAAAGAGCAGCCATGTAATGAGGATCACGCCTGCGGGGCCGAGTCTTGTGCTGGAGTGGTAGAGACTGAACGCGTGTGCGCAGAGCTGGCGTTGTCACACGCCCTGCTTTGTCGGGCTTTTAATGACGGACATCTCGATGAGAAGAAGCACAAGGACAACCTCAGTTACTTTATGGTAACTGGAACTCTGGGCAAGTCTTCCTTTGGCTTCCCAGTAGGATCTACTGGACCGTACTTTGTTGTAGCCCCATTAGATTTCTGCTGTTTTAAACTTTGTATATTTGCAGTAAATATTGTTACAGAATAACAGGGATGCTTTATTGTAGAAACTTGGGTGCATCACAGCCTGACTGTATGTGTACTTGTATCTGTTTCTCCAGAATCTTCTGGAAATAGAATTTAACTCTTGCAGACTTAATCCCTATGATTTCTTTTATATTTTTTTTAAAGTTAAAATGTATTTTTGTAAAATATTTTAATTGTAAATAGCTTTGATCAGTGTTACAGGAAAAAGAAAGGACTTTTAAAATAATTATTTTGAAAATGAAAAGTAAAAATATTTTGCTGTTTACGAGACTCCTACAATTCAATTCCTTATCCTGTGACAGGAATGTATAGAGAATGAAAAATCCTCAGACCCTGTTAGCCTTCATTACCCATAAGAGTTAGGAGTTATACTGGAATCCTGCTTTCCAGCAGTGGTGAGTATCTGTCACTTTTCCTCCCTGAATGTCAACAACAGTGCAGCAGCTGACCTGCAGTCGGCATGTGCTCATGATCTCATGGCTCTGCTCTTGTTCTCCTTCGGCTCATCCTAGTCTAAGGTCTCCCCTGGAGCAGGGGTGCTGTGCTGTCACAGCTTAGCCCTGTAGGTGTTTCTGTCAGTGGAGAAGTGTGACCTGTAGTGAACTGTAGGCATGGGAAGGTGATTACCGCTTGTGCAGTGTGCTTCCGCCATGGGAACTTCTCTATCAAACCAGCTGTCACAGCACTGAGAACCTGCTCAGACTCAGCAGGTGATGAACCTGGTGCTAATTTACATGATTTGCCTTTAACTGCCTCAGCTAAGCTGGCTGCTCTGTCTCTGTTCTTCAAAAGTGGTTTTGGAGCATTTGTATTTGCTGCTCTGGGCAGACGAGTGTAACTGCTTGGGGTGGGCTGGCCCTGGCTGGGGACCAGGTGCCCACCAAAGCCGCTCTGTCACTGCCCTCTGCAGCTGGGCAGGGGAGAGAAGAGGTAACAAACGGTTGAGACAAGGACAGGGGGCGATCGCTTGCCAGTTACCATCATGGGCAAAACTGACTTGACTGGGGGTTGGGGGGGTGGAGTGTGGAATCATCAATTTATCATCAATCAAAATCAGAGTAAAAAGAGAACCCAAATCTTATCTCTCCTCCTCCCCTTGAGTAGCACAGGGGCATGAGGGTTGGGGTCAGTCTATTATGTTGTCTCTGCTGCTCCTTCCTCCTCAGGGAGAGTCCTCACACTCCGCCCCAGCTCCAGTGTGGGAGACAGTCCTCCATGAACTGCTTTGGCATGGGTCCTTCCCAGGGGCTGCAGTTCTTCCCATACTGCTCCAGTGTAGGTTCATCCCCACAGGGTGCCATCCTTCAGGAGCAGCTGCTCCAGCCGGGGGCCCCCCGCGG